GCTGAAAATCCTCAATTTTGATCTCGATTGTTACTAAAATGACTCGTTGGTTTTCCTGAGTCTTTTTCTGAAGGCTTGTCATCTAGTGCTTCTATTTATGAAAAGTAGAGCTATCGCTGTTATAAATTTTTTTCTTTTTTAAGGTAATTATTATTTCGATTTGTATATATCGTAAGACTAAATGTATTGGATGATAACTGACATTACATCATATTGGTCGTTAACTCATCGTTACCAAGTACATTTATGTGGTAGGCTATATCCAGACCTAATAGAAATAAGAAGAAAGAAATAAGCTCATAAAAAACCGAAGTTGTTAATGACACTTATTAATTGTGTTTTCACTTTTTTTCTTTTTTTGACTTCCATTATACGAATGATACTAATTTCTTCTCTTTGCTTCAGATGTCCGATCTCAAACATGTAACAGTCGACAAACATCTAAATAAAGTGGAGTCTTATCTAAAATTTATCTGTATCTATTTTAGATTATCTGTCCCCTTCCTTGACTTTGGACACTCATTTCACGTCATTAGTTCAAAAAGGTCGGTTTGTTCGTCGTTCAAAAAATCTCAGTTTTCTCGAGAACGCATGCAAATTTCACAAATTGATACAATTAAACATTATCTCGAAGTTGTATCCCTTATATAAAAAAATTTTTGTCGTAAGATGCACCATCTTAAAGGCGTTTAGGAAGTACCCCTTTAAAAACTTATCTAAAAAACGAATCTTTTTAAGAAAATTGACATTCAGAAGAGTCGAGTCGCCTTAAATGGATGCGAATGCTAGCGTTTCAATCTTGATTATTTATAGAATATTGAATATATAATTTATGAAGGTTGTGCCAATCTCGATCGAAGATACATACACTTTCTTTTCTATTTTATGGAATAGTACTTAGTGAACTCAGACACCTACGACTTTTCTTTTACATACATTCACACCAGCAGAACATCAAGTATTAATTAAGTTATAAAGAATCTAACTAATGGCAAAATTTTTTTTGTCTTTTTTCGTTCTTTGCTTTTTATTTCAAGTAATATCAGATTTTTCATAGATTCAAATCAGTGAACAGTATTACATTTAATTATCTGAATACAGGTTTTTTAGTTGTTTTTCTTTACTTTTATAATACACACTTAGATACATAGATATATGTGAAATACAAATACTCAGCATGACTTCTTATTTTTTAAGATAATAAAGAATAGATGTGATAGAAGCACTCACATTTTCTAATCTGAATCGTTTAAAGAAAAACATTTTATTAATCGAAATGTCAAATGAGTTAGTATTTTTTTGTCTCAAACGTCAAAAAAACTTTTTTGTGATTTAATTATTCGATTATACAAATTTCTTTTTCTTGCTACGATACTGTTGCATCATAATTTATTCCCTATTGAACACCATATAGTATTCCATTCAATTTCCCAACAGAAAGTTCCTCACTATATTTTTTATAGAAAAAAAAATTTAGTTTTGCATGGAATGATGTAATTTATTTAAATAGAAAATGAGAGAAATATGACATTTTAGTTTAAACGACGTATTAGAGTCAAGAACAATATCTTTCTAGATTTTATCATATTCTATTAATTTCAAATTATAAACGCTTAACTAATGTGCGTTATCTTCATCAGGATTGCATGATGTTGAGATTTAGAAGACGCTTAGATCTCTTCTTTTTAGTCATGTTTTTGTCGAATTAACATTGAGATAACAAAAAAAACAACGCCTGGCTAACTCAGATCTTGAGATATCAATTGTGCTGGGAATATTAGCCTTGATAATAGAAGACATTGTAATGTTTTGCTCCTTTATAGTGTCAATTTATTGGTTTCTATTTTGAATTTCCATAATTTTCAAATATGTTTTCTTTTTAACATGCGTGACGGCATCATATTGTAGTCTGTGCGTAAATTTATTTTGTAATGGTAAAAAAAAGTCTACGTAAGTTCAATTAATATTATATGCTAATAGTCTGTATAGTATATAGATAGATAGATAGATAGATAGTCAATCGACATGGGAATAGCTTCTGTTATGTCTTTTTCTTTTTCTATATAGGATACTTATTTTATACATATAAGAAAATGTTGCTGTTGTTGCCTTTATCTCTCATATTTCATACGCATAAAAACTAATTCTGTTAGAATAATGTTTATTTATTTGCTGTCTGTTATTGATGATTGAACACTGTGTTTATATACGTACTATCACCACTATCAACTAAAAGCTAAAAGAAAGAATGGGATAAATAACTGACGATAAATGCTTCTTCTTTTTTTTTTTTTTGCACCCCTTATTTTTGTACGATATAAACAGTAAAAAAATTATTAGCTCATGATATATGTATGTATAATTCATCATTAAAAAAAACCCATAGATGAGTAACTCAAAAGGAAATAACACCATGATCGAGAGAGCAAGAAAGGGAGAGAGAGCAGGAGGGAAAAAAAAAGTAGAAAAATTCATTCCACAGAGAACAAGAAAGAGAATGAGAGAAATGAATGAAGTGTTCTTAAAATATATTACACGAACATGCGCATATACGATGAACGACATGATGGTGTTACTATATGAAAATTCATAATAATATTTTTCTTCTTACTATTATTTTTTTTTTCTATGTATAGCATAGAGAGAGAGGAAAAAAAAAGAAGCAGACACAAGTCACCCTAGAGCAGCAGTAAAGAGCTAGTGGGTGTGAGTGATACTGCGTAGATAGATAATACAAAAGAATTTTCTCTTTGTTCCTATCGGAAAAAAAAACTGAGAAAAAACAAAAAATGACTACAACAACTATTACTACTCGAATACATCTTAAAATCTATAGACATGCATGAAAGAGAAAAGCTAACAAGAAATAGTAGTTGATCTTTTTCTCCTTGTCATTAGTACTATTTTAAATTTCCAGATATAATATTGAAAATGGGTTGTACGGGTACAAAAAATGAAATTAAACATGAGTCAAATTTAATTGATAAAAAACATCAAGATAATGAAGAAATAATTACAGATGGATTCCGAAAATGGTTAAAATCAAATCGTCCACGAGCAGATGATTACGTGTTGAAAGAGATATTATTATCACAGCCAAATTCAACTCAAACAATTGAATCTATTGAAAATGATTATCGATTAATTGTTTCCAAATCATTAGATTTAATTTCAAATCGAAATGATATTAAATCTATAACAAAATTGACAAAAGTTTTACAAAAAGAAATAACCACAGCATCACCAAAAAAAGTAAATCAAACAGTTGATATATTAAAACAAACAGCCGATAAATTACGTGATGGCAAAATAGTATTAGATGCAGACGAAAAACAGACGAATATGGTCAATGGTGGAGTAGTAAGTATTAGAGGTGATCAAAGATAAATATTAGTGTGTCCGATTTCTCGTTCTATAGGTAACAAATACCACTACTAAAAACGAGTCGTTAGATCAAACGAACGTTCAATCATCATCTCAGTTGCGTGGTTTTTCAAATACATCCACTGAACCTGGAATTGGTCTACGAGAAGCATTAGAAAAAGCTAGAATATATTTTTATAAAGTAAGTGTAAATATCTTATATACCGTCGTCGTTGACTCATCTAAAACATTTTTATAGGGAAAGCAAGCAGCTATCTTTGTTAATTATCTAGGCGGTTATGATGTTAAAGTTATTGATGATACAGATGATGCACTAAATCATGATGGTAACCTGTTACGTTCAATTGTTGTTACTGAAGTTAAAATGAGACCGAAGACAACAACAGCTAATTTAGAACAACAACAACATACAATTCCTGATGAACAAGGAATAAATGAAGATTTTCGTCGTTCAATTGATGCAGCATTAGCTGGACTTCAACAAATTTATCATAAACCATCCACAACAGATAGCACAGAACATCAAACGACTAATCGATGTTCAATACCTGTCAGTATCGTATCATCTAATCGACCAGAATCTCCCATTGTGCAACAAACAACTTCACATGAGAAAGTTATTTCAGCAGCTCTTGATCATAGTAACTTACAACATGGAATGGCAAATACAAACGACAAAAACACACTATCACATCCATCATCTAAAGATGATCTTGCACCTTATTTAACTACGACGTCAATAGAAGATTTGATATCAAATAATCGTGCAAATATCGATAAAACAGATGAAGCAATATATCGTGATTTATGCACAATTGTTAAAAAATCGACAAGTACTGATACGACCGATGATCAACCACACGATGGATTCCAACATTTAGCTGATATTGTAAGACAGATAGCTGAAAGTCAAAATCAATTAAATCAACACATAACCGCATCAAATGCACAGATATTCATGCCTCCTCCAATAGATATACAACCAAGAATTGTAAATATGATAGATAATGTCAATGAATTGATGATAGATTCAATTGAATCAACAACAAAAGCAGAAATCGGTGAACCGATATTGCCACAAAAATACGATACTGTTGAAAAATTAGTTTTGATAGCACAACAACAAAAAAGTAGTCATACAAATATCGAACGTATTGTACAAGAACTCAAAGAACATGGTGAAAACACACATCACAGTCTCCTATCATCACAAGAACATCCTAATATTGAATATATTGTAAGAGAATTAAAAGAACATAGTGAAAAAATGTTACATGCTGATGGAAAATTGGCAAACTATCCTGTTGATATTACATCGAAGCCCATAGCATCTATTTCATCAAAGAAAGAATATGCCAACTTATGCTATGAAAATCGACCAAAATCATTTATTAGTGACGATAAATTATCATCGGATGACAGAACAAATCATCATAGTTTAGATAAACAAATGTCTGAATCGTATTTAGATGATATGACACATTTAACACGAGTCGGTATTTCAAATCCAACACTGCCTACGTCAAAACCAACATCACCAACAAAAATTAATGAAGAAAAAGACGAACAACAACCAGTCGTATCAACATCGATTAATTCCATAATCGAAGAAGAATCAGAATTAAACAAGCCAATAGCACACGTTACTCAAGGTGAGAGTAAACGTAGTCAAAATGTTACATATACAGAAACAATTACGTCACAAAATAATGGTGAGAAATCATCACGTACAATAACCGAATCGTATGATGAACCATTAGACAATGATAAAAATACTGACCAAACAACAACTTTAAAAGTTGTTACAAAATCAGAATTTTCACGACCCAAATCGGGTGAAAGCATCATGGAACAAGCGGTTCAAGTAATAACAGTCAAAGTAAGAAATGAAACAACTGTAAATAATGAAAACGATGATATCGACTACGAACGACGACCAGTTAATGAAATAGTCAAAAATTTTGAGCAAGAAACTTGAAATAGAATTTCTTCCCTTATAAAACCACCATCTCGAATAAAATCCCATTGTCATGCTAAATTAATCAAAAATCATTACCATAGTTATTTCAGTAACAACACTTAACAAAAATCAGAAAGAGTCTAATCTTTCGAACCATGTAAAAATTCAGATTTAATATCCTGCTTCTTTAATACTTATTTGGATTTCTTTTTGTTTTTACAATTGTTTTCATGATTTTTGAGTTCTTTAGTTTTGTTGTTTCACTTCTGATTTACTCTTGGTTCTGTTTTGCTTTTATTTTCTGTTTGCAAATGAATTTTACCCGATACCCAAATGAATTTTATTTCTCAACAGATGAATTTTTGTGTTTGTTTTATTTTTTTTGATTCAACCTTCCTCGAAGTAGGGCGAGCTCTCAGTGCTGAGGAAGATCAACGTTGGTTTATTAAAAGAAACCACGGCTAACAACCCTACAATTTAGACCCAATAATGTCCGATCTTAAACTGTATATACCCTAAACTTTTTCTATAAAAAAAGATGAGTTTTTTCAGGAAAAACTTGAACTTTTTTGTTCTTGCGACGGCTCCACTCTCAAAAAGCGTGCATGGAAAAAAATGACTAGTTAACTCGAAATTCCGTGAGATGTCAAACTTGACAAATATGTAAATGTATACATTATTTTTATTAATAATGAACAAATATCGGTTTGATGCCTGTTGCCTATTAACTCTTATGGATAATTAAAAATAATTCAACGAAAAAAGGTGAGATAATTAATTGACAAAGAAGGACGACATTTTTATTCAGATATTTCAAAAAGCAAAGAAAAAAGTACCTTAGAAAAACAAAATTTTCCTGCTTTATAGAAGCGAACCCAGAAAAATGTGTCAGTGAATTCTGTTTATCCTACATCTGTAATTTCATCTCTTAAATTTCGAACATTGAAATCATATTGACTTGAAACTGAAATAAAAATGTAGGCAATGTATAGGATATCTGTCTCCCTGTATGTGGCATCAAAAAGGCCTTTGGAAAAACCTCTCTAGTGGAAAGAGCAGTCGTGTGCTTGCTCCAGTTCTTTTCGTATTATGATAGATCGACACTTCCGTGAATAGAATTTGTTTCGTGCTCACTCTCACACACCCTCAGAATGTTAATTTTGAAAAATCTCGGAAGAATCGTGTTACGGTTCACTTGTGCGACGGTCTTTCATGTTCAAAAATACAAATAAACTCGACTTATATTTTGATTTGTTATCGTTCTACAAAAATAATTTACACATCTAAAACTTACAATACAGTTCATCATCCAAATGCTACAACTACCGTTTCTGGACATCAAAACCTGAAATGGTTTTCTTGTTATAGTATCCCAATAAAAGTCTGTTAACGGACATTTTACAACTGCATGCTCCCATTCATTATACTATTGAAAATAGTTTAAGCATTAAAATGTGATCCAAAAAAATCTTGGTGGTTCGATGCGTATAGTCTCAAAATTTTCTAAGCAGTTGTACAAGGCTATTTATACAGGGTTTATAATAGCGTCTGGTTGTGTTTTATGAGTGTTTTATAATGTGGCCATATGTCAAGTGCAGTTGTGTAACGGTATGTTGTTTTTGTCACGTGTACTTGAGTTATGCCATTTTTATTCTCTATATTTTTTAGATAAGGAACATTTTAATACTTTCTCAATAGTGTAAGGCAGTCTGGTCTCATAGCCCGAACGGGATATATATTGGAGCCCTGCAGGTTACAACTGTTTCATAACCTATAACCTGTCCTTTAAAAACCTTAACAACCTATAACCTTTCATAATCTTATACCTCGTAACCTGTCCTAACCTGCAATATTTTCTGCGTA